ACCATTTAGTAGGACAAATCAAAAGAAAGTGACCACTGAGACATAATATATAATGATTTGACTCTCTGGGTCTAGGTAGAGAACCTGATGAATTTTCTACAGATTCTTTGTCAACTTTTTCAGAGTATATGGTTCACTACTCACCAGGTTTCATTTCTGAAAGATTGCAAAAATCCTTTTTAATTTTTTAAAAGCTAAAGTTTTAATGTTTTAAAATTTTAATTTAATTTTTTAAAAGCTAAAGTTTTCATTTTTTTAAATTTTAATTTAATTTTTTAAAAGCTAAAGTTTGACTGTCGCATTTATAAGAATGAAGAAGTCTTGCAGGTGAAGAGAGGTGGCATGAGAAGTGGGAGTAGCATTAGAGGGATCCAAGAAATGTGGATCCCGTTCTCAGCTCTAGACTCAATTCGTTGTGTGAGTTGAACAAGCTGCTCTGCCTCAGGGGACACGGTTTTTCCATACGCCTGACTTCCTACATTCCCAGCCACATTACCTTGGAGTAAATCTAGATCCCAATAACAGGCATACACAGTAGTTCTCTGGCTCCAGTCTTTGCCTGTTAGTGCAGGACCTTAAGTCCTCACACTATTTCTAGGGTACTCTCAGGTGACTCCCATGTGCTCATGAAACCAGCGATTATCATTTTCTGTGATTTATACCTTCTTCCGTCTCTCTTAGATTCTGTCTGGGAGTCTGCCGCTGCAGCTTCTGAAATGAAACTTAAATATCTTCCCCATCCCAAGGCTGCAGTTCAGGGTCCCCTTGGGAACTGAGGGATAGCTCTGGAGACTTCGGGGCACCAGGTGGGTGGGTCTTCCACTTTGGGGTTACTCACTGTCTCCTGGTGCAGTGCTGCCCCGAGCTCCTATGCTCATAGAGAGATCAGTGACATCCCGACATTTTGTTTCCCATAGCCCCCACACCCTCAGGAGGACTGCCTCAAGTCTGACTGGGTAAAGAGAGGAAGGCAAAGAAAGAGGAGGAGGCTATAAATACATAGTCATGAAGTGACATGAGCCTGACGCTCAGAGTGAAGCTTCTTTCATGGCCGCCCACTCTCCTTAAGCTTCTAGCATGCCTCAAAGGGTTAGAAGAGTTCCTTCCTAGAGACATGACTAGGTAATGTACCAGGGATCATTAGTTTGAACAGTTCTATGAAATCAAAGTGTTCCAGGAGCGGGCCCCTTCTTATTGTATTGGGTTTAAAGAGTTCCGGCAAAAAAGAGTGGATATATGTATATGTATAGCTGAATCAGTTTGCTGTACAGCAGAAACTAACACAACATTGTAAATCAACTATACTCCAATAAAAATTAAAAAAAAAAAAAAACTCTCAGTAATTCAAGAAAGCTTAAGAATCACCAAGCCGGAAACACTGGTGCCGAGCGCGAATGTCCCATCTGTAGCACATACATGGTAGACCCACCCCCCTGCTGTCGTACCCACACCCCTCACACCCACTCTGACCCAGACCTAGATGAAACAGGCTCCAGTGCCAGCCTTTCAGGTCGCTTCCTGAGTAAGAGATGGCTTAAAGAAAAAGAAAATCTTTAATGGAATCTGTTCTCAAATAATATGTTACAACAAAATATAAAGAATGTACACAATACAAAAATATTTAGAAGAAAAAAAAAAGTTTGGGCAATGCATCAAACAAAATGTTTCCCTGAAATCACTTCATTAGAGATTTAGTCCTTTGGATTTTTTGTACTTTCTAGTTCTTATAAAAGTGCTAAGACTCCTGGGCTTCATTGGAAGACAGTCTTGTTTGTTAGTTGGCTGATGAAAGGACAATGCAGAGATGGGCCACAGTTTGAAGCCTTAGAAAGAGAAAGAGGTAGAGAGTAAGAGCTATATGATTTTTTGGTTTCTCTCATCATGTAACTTATTTATTCATCCTTTCTTTTTATTGCAAAACCATTAGCTGAGGGCTCTTAAGGGTTGCACTGTGTTCCCCAAAAGATATGGTGAACTCCTTATCTCCAGTCCCTCAGAATGTGGCCGTATTTGGAAATAGGGTCATTGCATACATGTATAACTAGTCAAATGAGGTCATACTGAAATAGGGTGGGCCCTAATCCAATATGACCTGTGACCTTATAAGAAGATGGCCATGGGAAAACACAGAGACACAGGGAGAAGACCATGTGAAGATGGAGCATTAGAGTGATGCATCTACAAGCCAAGGAATGCCAAAGGTCTCTGGAAAACCACCAGAAGCTAGGAAGAGGCAAGAAATGATTCTCCTATCGGTTTCAGGAGGAGCATGGCTCTGTGACACTGTGATTTCAAACTTCCAGCCTCCAGAATTATGAGATAACAGATTTCTGCTCTTTTAAGTCATCCAGTTTGTGATATTTTGTCATGGTAGCTCTAGGCAACTAATACAAGGGCCTATGTGTCAAACCTCATTCTAGTGGCTTTGGATCAAAGTCAAATAAGATGTGGTCCCCTCTTCAGGAAAGTGCTAGATAGGATTTCAGAGAGAGAGAGAGAGAGAGAGAGACAGAGACAGAGACAGAGAGAGAGAGTGAAAGACGGAGGGAGAGAAGGAGAGAGATAAGAGGCTTGTATTACTAGGAGAAGGGCTTTAAAAACTTAATATGTACACTCTAAAATAAATGAAAGGATTGAGCTGGAAAAACTGGAGCTCTGATAGGATGATATAGGTAAGATGCCCTCTGTCTTCTTCCTTTTGAAGTCCTGAGATGACAGCTTTGGAGATCAAAGGATGATTTATGTTCACAACAAAAAGGAAACAGTAATCACTAGAAGTCAGCATGGGTTTACCAAGAAGAGAGTGTCTCTCAGGGTCAATTCATCACCTTTGACAGGGAAGTCAGACTGGTAAGTGACAAAATGTAGCAGGCAAAGTGTAACAAGAATTTATTGACGTACCTGCAGTTTTCCTTATGATATCCTTACAGCCAAGATAGAGTGGTTAAGCTGGGAATTGAGGGAACAGCTGTACCTATGGATCCATGACTAATGAATGGAACTATGGCAATCTGGGCTGAGGTTTCCATCGGAATGCCAAGGAGCTCTTTCATAGGTGCTGCCCTGTTCAGTATTTTTATCAGTGAATTGGAAAGTCAAGCATTACCAGATTTGTCTTTGATGGGCTAGATGACTCCATCTACACCTGAATGTGTGCACTTGGTTCTGGATAGAATCACATAGTTAAGGAGGCCATAGGGGAGCCAGAAGATGTTTTGAAGGGAATGACCAAGTTGATGACCTGAAGGAAAGTAGCCATCATGTAATATAAAAAACTGGTGAGGTATTTGGGGATATACAGGCTAAACAATAGAGAATGCAAGAAATACATGAAGCCGAGGGATAGTGTGTTTTACTTGGATTGAAGGGTTGTAATCACCGGGTCAAGTAATAGGAAGGCAACCTCAGCTTGATATAGAAGGAACTTTCAGATGTTAGAGTAAAAATAATACACCCACAATGAAACCTGAAAGATATCAAATCTCTATGGACTCATCTACAAATTTAGTAAAAATCCTAGCAGGATTTTTTTTAAGGAACCCATCAACTTATTCTGAATATGTAGATGAACAGAGGCTCATAAATAGCTAAATCAGTTTTGAAAAAGAGCAAAATGTTACTATTAACCGAAGAATGGTAAGATATACCGTAAAGCCAGGATAATCAGAGTGTGGACCTGGTACAGCCACAGGTAAATAAGCCAATGGATCAGAAGAAAGAGCCCATGTGTCTAGGGGAACTTGGTACATGAGGGAAATAACACTTGAATCCATGAGGCAAAATGGAAGGATGGCTCAGTGGGTGTTGTTGAGGAAACTGATGGACTCTCCAAGGGAAAATAGAGTTGGAAAACTTACACAATGTACAAAGATGGGTATAGATGGATTAAAGAACTAAGTGTGAAGCATAAACTCTAAAGCAAATAGGAGAAAATACAGAAATATATATTTGTGATTTTGGAGTAGAAAGGACTTAATGAAACTTCCAAAGTGAAAAGCATAAGGAAAAAATTATTCAACTGTCCATTTCAAAAAATAAGAATCTTGAGTGATGACATATAAAGTTAATCAGGTTACTGACAGATTAGAAAAAAGTTATTTGCAATGTGAAACCATAAGAGGTTATACTTAGCTATACAAAATACCCCAAGTAAATATCTAGGATATATTGGGTTGGCCAAAAAGTTCATTTGGCTTTTTCTATAAGATCTTACACACTGGTCTGACAGGCACACATAGCTGACACTTCATCTGCGTTTAGAATGTAAAGTCCAGTGGTTAGGTGGATCCAGAATGCCTACGACTGTGTCATGGCTCTTCCTCTTTGTGACATTTGGCAACCCCTCTGAACTTTAGTTGCTTCATCAGTAAAATAGCACAAATAATGAGACTGGTCATAAAATTCACATAAGGATTAAATGAGATAATATAAAACAGAACAGCATCTGGCACATGATAAAAACTCAGTCGTGGCTGTTTTTGCATCTCTGTTTCATTTTGACATTATGAGTCCAATAACTGTTACTTTCCCGCATATCGTATTTCAAAATTAGTATGGTAACGCTTCTGGGTTATTAATCAGGCAATTAGTTTTTTCTTTAATTAATAATCAGAAAAGGAAGTCATATGCCTTCCCTGAGACTGTGCTCTGGTGGTGTATGAGGTGTGCCTCGTGGATTAACTATTAATCCCAGAGTGAAAACTGAATTCAGCGTTGTAGAGCTGGAAAGGATGTGGGAGACCATCTTGCTAGTCCCAGCCCTTTCGACACAGAAGGATGCAGAGAGCTGGAAGAGGTAAGTGCCATGCCCTGAGTTTGCACCGCAAGAACCATAGCACTTCTTCTGTGGTTTTGATTAATTAATTATGACTACAAAATATAATTACGATTAGGAAATCCAAGTGGTGATTAGGAAAGATTAATGTCACCAGCTGGCTTTGTCAAATGGGTGTGAACTGTCTACATGAATAATCTCACTTAATTAGAGACCTAGACCCAGAGGACTCATAGTTATTCCAAGTATGAACTTGCTGGACTTCCACTTGACTGTTGCTTTATTTCAGTAGGTGGAGCCACTCTCCCTCATTAGAATAAAGTAAACAGATATAACTCAATTATAAATAGAAAAAAATATGTGCTCTCTGTCACTGAGAGTTGCACAGAGTGACGACTGGCTCGAGACCCTGGGTGCAGCGGTGAGCAGTGCTGGAGCATGAGTTCCAAGCCAAAATCCATAGGGATCATCGGAGCTCCTTTCTCAAAGGGCCAGGTGAGTAAAAACCCTGGCTTTGCATAACCGGAATTTATGAGAAAGTTTCGAACTTCAAAATTAGTAAGGTGTTAATGTCTAGTTAGTTAAATTCCCTGATACAACCTGACCTGAAATCTATATTTTAAAGTCCTCTCACCATTTTGCATCATTGTATAATTATGGTCACAAATCCATTTATTCTTATGGCTCCTAATCTCAGCCACAGCTAATTTTGTCTAAATCTGCTGAATTTTTCCTCATATTTTTTTTAAGAGAAAATATTTTTATTTGAATGGAAATAGACTATTTCTGCATTGTAACTACTCATTTAGATTTCTGTGTTCTCGTTGCTTTTGGTGTTACTGTTTATATGTAGAAGGAGATAGAATTTTAAGAAAACACATTTGTTTAGTTATGTAATTAACGCCTAGAAAAATTTCATAGACGGGCAGCAACCTTTAGAATTTAAAAATGTGGACAACCTAAACATTATTGATTTATCAACTTTGTGAGTGATTTATATTATTTTAGGGTTTTCATGATTCTATAAAAGTACTGATTTCATGGACTAGGTAGAGTCCCTTGTGCACCTCTCTTTGAGGGAGGAAAAAAGAAAAACAAAAAAGGAAACCCACCTGCAAGTTGACCACATTGAAAGGACTAATGAATTTATCAAACTCCCAGATTCCAAAACATGCCAGCAACATGTAAATGTAGTCTTTTTTTTTTTTTGCCCAGGCACACTCATTCTGATAAATCTAATGAGATTACAGATATCTTCGACTCCCGTAAGCATCTGTGCTAAAAGAGGGGGGATGGGGAAATACAAAAACAAAAGCAAACAGAATAGAGTGTGAATTGACACCTTCCCAGGCTGATTTTTTTGTGGTTGTGGTTGTTTTAAATGGGGTTTCTCAGGTTTCTTAGAACTTTCTCTTTGCCCGTCTGAGCAATGTATGTATTCTCTTAGTTTTGAACTCTTGCTTTGCAATCTGGCTTTTTTATTACAAAACAAATTGGGACAGGTCAGAGGTTAGAGATGCAAACTGCATTTGGACTGTCAGTCAATACTGCTTCACTTTCCCTGGAAACCTTTCAAAGGTCTCTCCTGAAACACAGGGACATTTTGCCGACAAAGAAGTGTTTCTTTTAATGCTGGGGGTAATTGCAAAATCCACAATGCGCTCACCTATTCTTGGGACAGGTTCTAACAAAGATAGCGCTGAAATAACTGATAAAAAAAAAGAAGGAAGGAAAGAAGAGAGGAGGGAGGAAGGAAGGAAGGAAGGGAGGAAACAGCTTGAATATGCTCTGACCCCTGGACCTCAGCAGAAGGCCAAATGCTGATAGTAAGAGCCACTCCAGGGGATAATATTTTGAAATATAGCCAGATGCATTTTCCATTCTCCATAATTCTTCCTTCCTGACTTCTACAGCTCTTCCTTGTTAAAACATGGCCCGGGGCTTCTCTGGTGGCGCCAGTGGTTGAGAGTCCGCCTGCCGATGCAGGGGACACGGGTTCGTGCCCCGGTCTGGGAAGATCCCACATGCCGCGGAGCGGCTGGGCCCGTGAGCCATGGCCGCTGAGCCTGCGCGTCCGGAGCCTGTGCTCCGCAATGGGAGAGGCCACTACAGTGAGAGGCCCGCGAACCGCAAAAACAACAACAACAGCAACAAAAAAACATGGCCCCATGAGAATGAAGCTTATTGTCTCGTGATAGTAAGGACTCAGAGAGAGATATTTTTCTACACTAAGCCATAGCATAGAAGGGAAAAAAATGGCCAACATATAAATTTCTGTCCTCACTTAAAGGAGGTAAAGTTGGATAAATAGGCAAAAGAGAGGATTAAAGGGCTAGAAGGTTGAATCTGACAAAGGACTCCATTCCCTTGCAGGGCAGTGGTTAAGGGGAGGAGGTGGTGGCAAAGAATGAAGTAGGTATTATATTGATTTTACTGTTGAGTTAACTAAGGCTCAGAGAGATTTGAGAATTTGCTCAAGGTCACACAGCTTTGACTGTGTAATTCCAGACAGGACTGTCTGATACCAGAGCCTGTGCTCCTGACCTGCACTGGTGCATCTTTAGATCTACAGTGGATCTTAGAGTTGTGGTCAGTTAGGGAATGGAGCCCAGCTTCAAAGTCAGTAGAGCTAACAAAGAACAACAAGAAAAGACCAATCATTAGAAGCAGTTTGAATCAGCCAAAAAAAAAGAGCTAAAAAGTGTCACTCTGAAATTGATCGACTGTGATATTGTAATAAATATACAGCTGGGCCTCCATATCTGCAGGTTCTGTATCTGGAATATCTTTATGTCATTTTATGTAAGGGACTTGAGCATCCGTGCAGGGGGCAGGGGGTAGGGGGAGTAGGGGTGGGGGGATTGGGAGGTGGTGGGGTAGGGTGGGTGTCCTGGAGCCAGTCCTCTTCAGATACTGAGGGAGGACTTTCATATCAACTAAGGGGTGTATAAGATTTGTTGTGGTTGTTTTTTTTTTATAATTCTTAAAGTTCAGAATGGTGTTATTTTTAAAATTTTTATTGAAATATAGTTGATTTACAATGTTGTGTTAGTTTTGAGTGTACAGCAAAGTGATTCAGTTTTATATATGAACGTAAATTTTAAATTCTTTTCCATTATAGGTTATTAAAAGATGTTGAGTATAGTTTCCTGTGCTATACAGTAGATGCTTGTTGGTTATCTATTTTATATATAGTAGTGTGTATATTTTAATCCTGAACTCCTGATTTATCCCCTCCTCCGTCTCCCCTTTGGTAATCATAAATTTGTTTTGTATGTCTGTGAGTCTATTTCTGTTTTGTAAATAAGTTCATTTGTAAGGGGTGTATGAGATTTGTTCTAAAGTTTGAAAGGGAGGGGGAAAAAGGGCAGGGAGTTTTCTCAAACTGACAAATTTTGAGCATCTACTAAGTGTCAGCTCCGTACCACAAAATACAGTGCTGGAAGTGTAGAAAAAATTGGACTGAAATCTAATAATGGAGAAAAGACAAAAACAAACACAAAACCAAGGCAAAATTTGAGCCAAGCAGCACACTGTTGGACTTTAAAGAAGGAGAAATTGTATCTACTTGAGAGGGGGTGGGAGTCATACAAAAAAGGGAGTGGAGTGAAGGAGCAAATGTGTCCAGCTGAGCGTGGGGCGTCCCTGGCTGCCAGGGACAGGAATTTGACATGGAGGATTTGCCTGGCAGCCAGGGCAAGTCATCCGGTAATTTGAGTTGGGAAGAAATATCTACTTAGTTTGGTGCCACAGCCCAATCCTGGGGATAGATCCACCTGTCTTTTGGCACACCTTCTCCCCTGAGAACACAAAGTAACCTCCTGTATTGAAAAGGCTTGTTGGAAATCAGAATCAGAGAGACACATGCAAGAACCGATTCTTTTGATGGCTAATCTGCCAGGAGGCTGGAGAAGACTTACAGCCAGGAAGAAGCGTGTTAGCTTCCCTGATGTAAAATGAGCAAAGGTAGAATTGTGCCAACTGTGCTTAAGCAGGTCAAAATACCTGAAATGCCGGGTTAGTTTTGTGGTTTCGGCTCCCGGGTGATGGTTTTCCCTGCTGCCTGCTTTCTCCCCAAGAGCCCTAACTTACCACCGTGAGGACCTGCAAGTAGGTCTTTCTCATGCCACGCTCTTTTTTTTTTTTTTCCCTTATGTTTTTACTCAAGCTGTTCCCCTGGTTTGCAAAGTTTCTCTATCACCCTATCTATTTTCCTGAACACCTACTCACGTTGCAGGACTCAGCAGAAATATCAGCCTACTCCACGCAGACTTCTCTGACACACTCTGCTCCTGGCAGAGTTAGGATCATCCTGTTTTTGTGGTTATGAACCTTCTATCTGCATTGAAGCAAGTCTCTAAGTGCTGTAATTGGGATCAAATATCCAAATCCCCTATTAGCTTGTTAGTTACTCAAAGACAGAAGCCCTCTCCTTTTAATCACTGTATCTCCATCTCTCAGAGCGCTTTTGTACAAAATATGTGTTCACTGTGCTGGTAACGCCGTGTGATGGAGAAGAGGAGATGCAAGTTTTGGAATCTAAAGAATGCGGGTGTGAACTAAGGCTCTCCCACTTGTTAGGAAAGTTACGTAACCTTTCTGATTCTGGATCTTCGTATTTGACATAGGGGTAATTCAATCTACCTTGCCGTGATGATTAAATGAGATAATGTAAATTCCTGACTCTGTAGGTATTCAAAAATTGATACTCTTCAATTGATTAATGAAAAGGGTTCCTATTGTGGGCATCAGATGGTCATGATAATGTCTGAATTACTCTATTTTTTAATTGTTCAGCCACGAGGAGGGGTGGAAGAAGGCCCTACAGTATTGAGGAAGGCTGGTCTGCTTGAGAAACTTAAAGAATTAGGTAATTTTAAAACATTGATTACTTTTTATTGAAGTATAGTTAATGTACAATATTATACGTTACATATATGTACAATATAATGCTTCACATTTTTAAAGGTTATGCTCCATTTACAGTTATTATAAAATGTTGGCTTCTATTTCCTGTGTTGTACAATATATCCTTGTAGCTTATTTTGTACCTAATAGTTCATACCTCTTAGTCCCTTACCCCTATATTGCCCCTACCCTCTGGTAACCACTAGTTTGAGCAAGCTAATTTTTAACTTGAAAGATCAGCCTGATTTTCTTCTCACTCTGAAGGAAGGACCAGGGTCCTGCTAAAAGAGGGTGTGTCTGGAGTGACATTTATACCGCAGAATTGCAGCATTGGCTATAACCTTAGAAGTACAGCCTATAAAAAAAAAGCAGCGATGGGGGGCATGCTCAGTAAATACTGTTGGATGAATATCCCCACTCAGATATTTTGTCTTTCCAGCCAGACTCTTGTATAAGAGAATGTGTGTGTGCAAGAACTGGGGGTGGGTGGTAGGGGAGTCAGGGGAATTGAAAATGAAAAGCCAGCGGCAGCAGGAAGTACACTACTAGCAAGAGGACCCCTATTTGTGAAAGGAAAGAAAATAAAACAGTAATATAATAACAATAATAGTACCTAGTGTTTGCATGGCGTGTATGTGTACACGTATACATATACATATATATATGCGAGCATGCAAATGCAAAGTGATATAATTTTTAAAGTATGGGCTAAAGTAAACGTCATCTTTATATTTAAAACTCTGATGAAGTGTTGGGGAGGATATGGAGCAACTGGAACCCTCGTGTATTTCTGGTGGGAATGCATAATGATACAGCCACTTTGGAAAGCACTTTGACAGTTTTTTTTAAATTTGCGGTACGCGGGCCTCTCACTGCTGTGGCCTCTCCCGTTGCGGAGCACAGGCTCCGAACGCGCAGGCGCAGCGGCCATGGCTCACGGGCCCAGCCGCTCTGCGGCATGTGGGATCTTCCCAGACCACCGGGGCACGAACCCGTGTCCCCTGCGTCCTCAGGCGGACTCTCAACCACTGCGCCACCAGGGAAGCCCTGACAGTTTCTTAAATAAACATACATTTACCTCTTGACCCAGCAAATCTTCTAGATATTTACCCAAGAGAAGTGAAAACATATACTATAAACACTACTACCTGAATGTTTGTAGCAGTATTATTTATAAAAGCCAAGAAATGGAAACGGAATGCCTATTAACCGGTGAATGGATAAACAAAAAGTGGTACATCCATACTATGGGATAGTACTCAACAATAAAAAGGAAGAGGCTGCTGACATAGGCAAGAACATGGATGAATGAATGGCAAAGACATCATGCTGAGTGAAAGAAGCCAGACACAAAAGACTACCAACTGTATGATCTGTATGACATTTTAGAAAAGACGAAAGCATAGCAAGACAAAGATCAGTAGTTGCCTGAGGGTGGGGCAGGGATTGACCATAAAGGGGCACGAGGGAATTTAGGGGGTGATGAAAATATTCTAAATGTTGATTATGGTGATGGTTGCAAGACTGTAGATATTTCTAACACTGGTTGACCTGTACATTTAAAGTGAGTGAATTTTAGTGAATAACAATTATACCTCATAAAGCAAAAAAAAAAAAAAAAAAAGACCCCAAGAGAGAACAGAAGGCTTGGGGAAATGGACTAGACTAGTCCCTCCGTTAACAAGCATAATTTGGTCATATTTTATATCAGGTTGAATCTCTTGAAGGTGTTAGTGAATCTTGGATACACATGGACATTTAATGACTACAGCGTACAATGACTGGTTAGTTCAGAACACTGTACTTAGATCACATGAAGCTCTGTAAATTGAAGCCTAAACAGGGCCTTTTAGGGAGTGACCTAGGTCCTTAGAAACTTTGGGCTAGCTGCAATTTCTTTATTAAAGAAGTATAATAATAGAGCTTTTATTTCCTGACCTCACAAAAGCTTTAAGGCTCGTTGCTAATCATACGTTCTTATTTAATTCAGACAGTCCCACTATAAGGCAGGTACGATGGACAGAGCAGGGAGCTGAGCTGCTTCAGCTGGTGACAGATTGGACTGAAACCACGGGCTGTTAATATAGTGTAAGAAAATTTAGAAAATATTGGTGTATTTTCTTCTGGGCATAAATATATATGTATACATATTCTTTTAAAAACAACTTCTTCATTACGTATACAAAACATGCTTATTGTAGTAAAGTGACAGCACATAAACAGAGACAGAGACCAAGACAGTGATGCCACCCATTAAGCCCAAACCAGCTTATCACCGTTACACTTTCGTGTCTAGCCTAACTGGCTCGATTCAAGAAGTATTGATATTTGCAGAGAACCCAGTATACAGCAGGCACGGGTGTACAGCAAACGTGGGATGATGCTGTCAGGCAACAGTGGACAAGGTTTTTACCTTCACAAGTTTCTACAGCCATTCCAATACGATTTTTTTTTTTTTTTTTTTTTTTGCAAATACACCTATTTGGTAAAATTGGAATCATCCTACAGGCTGTTTTGTAATCTCTTTTTTAACTTAGTAACCTGAAACTTTTAATTTTAATTATAGAGTGTGATGTGAAAGATTATGGGGCCCTGACCTTTGCTGATGTCCCTAATGACAGTCCCTTTCAAATCGTGAAGAATCCAAGGTCTGTGGGAAAAGCAAGTGAACAGCTGGCTGATGTGGTGGCAGAAATCAAGAGGAACGGAAGGACCAGCCTTGTACTGGGCGGAGACCACAGGTCTTTTTTAATGGTTATCTCTATGGAAGTCTGGCACAAATACTGTAAAGCAAGTATCACCAAAACCATGAGAAGAGAGAAAATAAGGAAGGGAGAGCATTGATCGATATTTTATACCAAATTTTCTGTCTTTTTTCTTTTAATTTTATTGGTTACTACTTTATTTTGGAAACATAAATTTAGCTCTGTTTGAAGGCTTGCATTATCTTTATAACAGCAGAAAATACATATGAACGGATTTAGGCAAAATATTCAGGCTTACATTTCTAAATAAATGAGCACTGAGGAAATTTATAGTCAGTTTACTGTACTTGATTACTGATAATAGAAACAACTCATTTAGGTCAACAACTAAAGCATGCGTTTTCCCATTGTAAAAGTTAATAATTGTAAAAATTTTGAAATACACACACATATATAAAAGGGAAAAAACAATGGCAGTTGTAATTCTCTAACAACCGTTTCTACTGGAATTTTGAAAATCTGGCATACTTCCTTCCTGCCATAATTTTTTCCTTGTGTATGATTTTAACAATTGTGTATTATCCTGTTTTGTTCTTAATCTACACTACAAATTTCCTTATGTTACTTCATGATATATACAAGCATAATTGTTTATTGTTGCTTAATTTTTCATCAAGGTATGATATCACTATATATATCCATATTTTCAGATATTCAGATTATTTTCAAATTTTCACCATTATAAATAATGTGGCAAAGATAATTTTTGCGTGCAAGTCTTTCCATGTTTACTCTCAAGGTCCCACGATATGTTATCAGAAGAAGTATAATTAGATGAAAAGTACAAACATTACAATAGCTCTTGATGCAAGAGTCAGTTACTTCATCCCCCCTCCGTTTTCTCCCCTAAAGCCAAAGAGTTACCAGGGCTTCTGTGACAAAACTGCCATTGAGAAACTGGAGCTCACTTTCTTTTTTAAGTGGAAAAATTTGTAAGTGGAAATTTTAAGAGTGGCAAATGGCCAAAGAGGAAAAGACAAACGTCAAGCTGAATCATCAGTACCTGAACATGGAGAAACGACTGCTTCCACTTTGAGAATCTGAACGTTCACGATTCTCTGGAGGATTCCTGAACATTCACAAGTGGGAGAATGCAAGCACTGCATGGCAAATCCTGATCTTTTAACTTTTGTGTAAGATATTACTTAGCATTTTCATTCCGGCAAGTTTTCTGGAGCTTGGAATGTTTGAGATGAACTTTGAGGGTTCTGGATCTGGCTAAGAGCGGGTCCTTAAATACATAGCAGGAGACTAGAAAGTTCCAGCAGAGGATCTGAGTGAGTGAGCTCCCAGGATACACTGGCTGAAGTGGATGTAAGGACTTCCAAGTGATGCTCCCCAATTGTAAAAGAATTGGATTTTAAGAAAAATGGAGGGACTCTGTCATAATTCACTTGGGAGAATTAGTATTTACCAAGAGAGATAAGAGTACAGAAAACGAGCCTGATTTAACCCTGAGAGTTGAGTGGTGTCTCATGCTAACAAATTTCTTGTGTGGCTACTGTCTTTTCACACAGTTAATTTTTAGTTAAACTATAATTTGCAATTTTATTAGAAGGTGGTTTTGAAAAAAATTACAAATTTATTAGTAATGCCATTGAAGTAAATAAATATAACTTGTTAGTATATATTAAGTATAAGCTATACTTTCTCTATTGTTATCATTGTTTAACTGGCATCTCCGGTTTAAAACCTCTCACAAGTATTAGCCACTTTGACTTAAAGGAAAATCAGGTGAGGATGTTGCATTTATGATATGATGTACGTAATGATACTGCAAACCTGATGTCCATACAAACTTCTTTTCCTCTCAAGTTTGGCAATTGGCAGCATCTCTGGCCATGCCAGGGTCCACCCAGATCTCTGTGTCATTTGGGTGGATGCTCACACCGACATCAACACTCCACTGACAACCACAACTGGGAACTTACATGGACAACCTGTATCTTTCCTCCTGAAGGAACTAAAGGGAAAGGTAAACAGCTGGTTGGTATTTCGTTACAAAAGAATTATCTTTAGCAGAAGTTCAGGAGGCGGAAGGGAAGTAAGAACCCCTGTGCCATCTTCTTGATTAATTTCTCAACCCTTTTTCTGGGCAGCCAATAAGCAATGGGTGGGTGGATAGAGGTGGTGAGGCTCTGTACCTCTACCTTACTTGATAGTTTGCAAACTGACTTCATATGTAGCTTCCCTTTTGATTCTTAAACTACCCTTTTTAGTAGGTGGGGCAGAGAGGAATCCTCTATAAACAAGTTAACAGAGGTTCAGAGGTTAACAGACGTACCAAATGTGCAGCAAGGACCAGAACTGGTCTCCTGGCACCTCCTCCTTCTACCACAAACCCCATAGCCTCTCATTCTTACCAAGTGTCCCCTCCACATCATAGGGCCTTTTCAAACGTGGAGTTTTAAAATGAGGATTATGGTGGTTTATTATTTACCACCTTTACGATGAGAAATATATATCTAAACCACAAGAGGAACAACTACCTCCTCCTTGGAAACTTCCTTTCTAAAAGACGTTAAGATGAAATTCCAGAATAAGATTTAACATTGTAGTTCATAATTTTATTGATATGCTGTAGCACACCAATAAAACAATTTTTATTGATTCAGCTGCAGCAAATTGGCCGTTGTGATGATACTTGGGGGGCAAAACCTCCTTAATGTTAAATGTCGGCAGCAATGTTTTCCGAACAGATGACCAAAGTGATAGGCTTGCAAAATGCGTAGCCAGCTCATGGGAACAGCCAAGCATGGCTCCAGGACATCTGAAGATACGGTCAAACCAGAGGTCTGATCGAAAATTTCCCTTATCCACTCTCAACCACCCTCTGGATTAAGTCTTTACTGAGAAAGAGAAGAAAAGAAGGAAGCTATGAAAGTAATGGAAGCACACTGATTTCTTTACAGAAGAGTTCCAGGAAAGCAGGGCAGAGTGGAAATGGGGTGTGGGGCAGGTAAACGCTGACAAGTGATTCAGGTTAGGTGTGGGCCACAGGGTGAAGCTGGGTGAGGCCTAAGCAAACAAGGGTAGCACAGGCGGGCAGGCACTTCATTCTTAATTTTGTATTATATTTTAATGATTTCCCTGAGATTTATGTTCTAAACAAGATACACGCAATCTAACAAGTGTCCTTAACTTTCAATGTAAGATTTGCTCAAGAGAAGCATATATAACCCAATGGAACCATTGCAATTCTAGGTTCCCGATGTCCCAGGATTCTCCTGGGTGACTCCCTGCCTATCTGCCAAAGATATTGTGTATATTGGCCTGAGAGACGTGGACCCTGGGGAACAGTAAGTTTATTCCTTGATGTGACTTATCTTCCCTTTTGTCCTTCCTCTTGCTAGGCGTGCTGGTCAAGCCGATGAGAAAAAATTATTTTCAGCACCAAGTCTATATATCTATATCTACACATATTTATATGTATACACGTACATGCATATATGTGTACGTGTTCAGGTGATTTTTACGTTCTTGCTATTTAGAAATATATTGATATATACATACAGTTCACCAAACTTAAATATTTTTTTAAATCTCACCACACTGATCTTTTCTTTAAAAGGAAACAAGAGGGCATAGGGTCAGCCTCCTTATAAATTGTAGATTAATATATCCTCTTTCATAGCTACATTTTGAAAATTCTGGGAATTAAATACTTTTCAATGACTGAAGTGGATAAACTGGGAATTGGCAAGGTGATGGAAGAAGCATTCAGCTATCTACTCGGAAGGTATGATACTTTGTGTGTGTGTATGTGTGTTTGTATGTGTGTAACATAAATATTATGAAAAGGACTTGCTACTGACACTGGTCAATGTAAGTTATTAATAAAGCAAGTAAGTACAATCATGGAACTTCACTGGGTTGTTACTTTTTATAAAGCAAAGTAAGAACTGTATTTTTCTACGAAATATTAAACCACCAACTTTAAACTGAATTCCTTTCCCACCTCTTAAAAGAAAGAAAAGGCCAATTCATTTGAGCTTTGACGTTGATGGACTGGACCCGTCTTTCACACCAGCTACTGGCACACCAGTCCAGGGAGGTCTGTCTTACAGAGAAGGTCTCTACATCACAGAAGAAATTTACAAAACAGGTATGTAAAAATCTGAGTGAATAAAGAAGGAAGTGTACACCCGGCCAATATATACTGATACCTCCCACATCTGAAGATCGAGCCCCAACGGACACTTCCTAAATGTCCATTGCATGATGCAATGACTGAAATGTTTTCAGTTATTACACCTCTTTCTATTCCCAGATAACATTTCAAGTCGGTCTGTGCTAAGTTAAAAATGTCAACTATTTAATAAGTTACATTATTTCCATTTGTTGTTGTAGGGCTACTGTCAGGATTAGATATAATGGAAGTGAATCCATCTCTGGGGAAGACACCAGAAGAAGTAACTCGGACAGTGAACACAGCAGTAGCAATAACCTTGGCTTGCTTTGGAGTTGCTCGGGAGGGTAACCATAAGCCTACTGATTACCTTAACCCACCTAAGTAAACATGGAAACGTCATATAAAAATCTCACAGTTAATGACATAATTAGCAAATCGACTAGTTTAAACTTCTAGTTATCCTCCCAAAGGTTTGGTCTTTCAGAAAAATGTTTTGCCTTGGTGAAAGTTAGTGCAATTAGTATAAACTGTATCAGTTCCCTCTTGGTATGAAATTCAAGATATGGAAATGCTAACTTTTGTGAAATTAAAAAGCTTATATTCCCATTTTGGCAAAAGCCTTATCGTTAGAGAAATACACATTCATTTCCAAATAAAAATATGCTGGCATTAAAAATAAACACCTATATCAGCCCCCGCACATAGAGCGGAACTCTTGATTTCAGGAGATAAAGCTACCCAACCTGAAAAGGGACCATATTTCCATGTTGTTCAAAGCTGTAATCCCTAGAAACTTTTCTTTTCTCTTTATCTCTGTAAGATTCTGTCACTGCTACACAGGTTTCTAAATACATGTAAAACACACACACACACACACACACACAGGTGAAAGTGTCAACCTGGAAAAGCAACTGATTTATTTTTAAAAACAGAGATTAAAGAATCACCACTTAAGGATGATTTTATTAAGTTTATGCATTTCTAGCTATGTTATTTTCTTTTTTTTTTAAAGAAGATGTTGGGGGTAGGAGTTTAGTAATTTATTTATTTATTTTTGCTGTGTTGGGTCTTCGTTTCTGTGCGAGGGCTTTCTCTAGTTGTGGCAAGCGGTGGCCACTCTTCATCACGGTGCGCGGGCCTCTCACTATTGCGGCCTCTCTTGTTGCGGAGCACGGGCTCCAGATGCGCAGGCTGAGTAGTTGTAGCTCACGGGCCTAGCTGCTCCGCGGCATGTGGGATCCTCCCAGACCAGGGCTCGAACCCGTGTCCCCTGCATTAGCAGGCAGATTCTCAACCACTGCGCCACTGGGGAAGCCCTAGCTATGTTATTTTTTTACATGACTTCCAACTCATTTCACATAGTAAGTTCAAGTCCATGGCAAAGGCAAAAACTTGCCAATCTACACTAGAAATATTAGCCCATTTACTTGGAAATCTGTGATAAAAAATTTAAGCCATTTTTAAAAAGAATATGAACCTATTTGCTCCAGTAATACAATGAAATCTAGAGTCCTTTACTTGACAAAAATCTCTTACACCAAAAGAGATTTATGTATAAAAGGATTTGTAATAACTATTTTACATGTGTGGTGCCTTTAAAACAGTGTATTTGAAGACTGAATAAGTCATTAATACTAAAAAATAAAAACAATGGCCAAGATAGGAAAGATTGAGAGTGCCTAGTACAAGTCATTTAATCAGATATGTCCCCATTCCTAGGTAGCTCTAGTACATTGTTGTGGATATGAACAACGTGTAGCTTACTTTATCTCTCAGAGACAAAAACATAGGGAGATGGGAGCTGGAAGTCAACAGATTCACCATTTGAATCAGAATAAAACAATCTGAACATCACTGCCTCTACTCCACCACTATGTAGCGCGATCATGTTCAGATTTAATAGATTCAAGTCCATTTTCACCACAGCACACCCTGACTTCACTGAGTCCCTGGTAGAGACACTGGCACCTGATTAGACTGAGGTGCTGGAGACCCACTATTGATGGCTTGTGGAGGCACTGCAGCCGGTTCCATCTTGCTAATGTGAGTGATGAATCGAAGACGAAGTTTTAAAGCTGGTTTTAAATTACATATAATCTTCTCTACCTAAAAAATGAAAACACATTAAAAAGTATTTTAACCAGAGAACTTCAATTTCCAACCTTTAAAGAAGCAATTTACACATATCCTGAGACAATAAACTAGGGAGTGGAACAGGTGGATGAGATGTTATTCGGCATGTTTTGTGTTTTAACAAAAGCAGATTAAAACTCCTTCTCTCTTACATGAGAAAAAACATGTGTTGTCCCTCACACACACATTATATATATATGTATATATGTGTATGTGCGTCTATCTACGTATGCATACACTTACAAAAACATACTCATTTACCTAGCTAGCCAGTCGTCCCACTGACGACAGCTAGTAGAGTTTACACTGGGAATTCTACATACCCACCAAGGGGATCATCCTTTTAAGATACCATCTTCACGTAAGGTATCACGTAAGGGAAGCACAAAGCACGATTATATGTCGAAGTTCTTTGAATAACTTACGTTCATAACATTTATCTATAAAGCTAACTTTTTGGTTTTGATTTACACTTGGAATTCAAACTAAATAATATTAGATCTACTCTTACTTAAAAACTTTAAAGAAATAAATACATCAAGCAGTTCCATAGCTTTCTTAGCTTTACTCAAATGTTTCTGGATCTTACTAGGAAAGATCAGCCCACTAATAATTCTTCCTTTTTGTATTCCCCTTGTGTCAAAGTTTCTTAGGCCCAAATATAGGGAATATGCTAACGAGAACATTTCTGAATTGGTTCCCACTTGACAATCCTGCTGAGGCATGAAGGAGGCGACGCCCTCCCCACCCCATGTCGCCAGGTCCAAGGAACGAATCCCCCAGACTAGGAGTCATATGTTTACGTCTATCAATTTATGTTCCTCTCCCATTTTAGAGAGAAATAACATTGAAGTATGGAGGGGAGGTCACTTAATTCCACCAATCTGCCCTCTCTCCACCCTTCTAAAACAGCTGAGATTCTGGTTCCCACAGACAGGAAACTCAGTTATGATTTGAGGAGGACCCTTCCACTTTGAGACAGCTCTCCCAGGGAATGGCTCTTTATATGTTGAGTTACAACGTGCCTCCCTTTAACTTCACCGGTTTGTATACCTTTTAAAGTGACACAGAACAAATTTAATACCTATTCCAAATGGCAACGCCCAAATAGTAAGAATACAATTAATTCCCCAGGACTTAAAGAATTCAAGTTAAGCACCCCCAGTTCCTTCAAATACCCTTCATTAGTTACTCTCCTGACCCTCCCGGTTTTAGTCTTCTTGTCATGCTGCGATTTGTCTCACATCCTCACTGTGTACCCTAATCACTGCGGGGAAAACTAGGCCCTGCTTCACTTATAACACAAGGCCTCTCTGATCTTTTCAGTAGCCATACCGTACTGTTTCTTCCTAATGAGTTTACTGTTAATAAACCCCCAGGTCTTTTTCAGATGTTTTGCTGCAAATATCAAGGGGAGAAGTGTGAGAAATTATAATAGGTATTTACTTTAACACTATGTCCAGAGTAATATGCCACGTAGCCTAAAAAGGTCTATTAACCTTGTCCCCTTAAAAGAAAAATATTAACCAAAAAACCGCACTCACCCAAACAAAAAAGTCTGTCCGCCATATATTTAAGTTTTCTAAACTAAATGTCATTAAGAAATAAAGTGACTCACTTGCTCTTTCACACTGTCACCAGTAAACATGTACTTCATATGATACAGGAAGTCACAGATGGGATCCATGTAGTTTAAGTGGGTGCTACACTGGTCTACGTTCAGCAACATGTCATAAAATGCAACACCAATCTATTTAACAAATAATATAAAATTATTTAAATGGTAAGAAAATGGTTCAGTAATTCAGCTTGATGCAGCCAGACTCCATTACAAGACTAGCACAGAGGATAACATGTTTGTTGAGGAATTGTCACTATCAGACACACCTCTGTGCACATGGGTGATATGATACTGCCTGCATTTATAATGCAATCCAGAGTGCTACAAACTGCCTCCTAATAGAGCCTAAATGCAATTTCTCTTTCTAATAGTATTCTCTTAAACTTAATAGCTAGACAATCCCTTTTCTAGAAACGACCTCTCAATTTCTGGGATATCTGCAATCTCAGGGAGCCTTTATACTGGACCTTCTTAGTTCCATTTGGTGGCTCATACTTTAAGGGTCTACTCCTGGCTCATTTTCTTTTATCTATACACTCGTTATAGGTGACTGACTTCAACCATTCCCATCATTTTAATGAATTCCTCTGTACTACAGAGAATGTTCTCAAATGCACTTCTCCATCCTTAACTTTCTTCTCAACCTTGATGACAGGTATTTTCCCCTGCATCTCCAGTTCAACACATCACACATCAAACTCGTTATAGACATACTAAGTTATGGGGACACTAAGGCCTCAAAAACTGCTCTTAGATCCCACTAAAATGATTTTCCTACTAATGGTAATGATATGCAGTTTGAAAAACACTGGGGAAGAAATCTTAATATATCTTTTAGAACTTAATCTTATCACGGAAAACCCAGATTTTATTCTACCTCTATCATACATCGAGTTCTCTCTTGCTGAAATCTTTGTAAAAATGGTCCCACGAGATGGTACACATAAAGCAACTGGAACTCAGTCTTCACTATAGGAAGAAGTATTTCAGTGAGAAACCTAAAATTTAAAAATAAAAATTTATTGTTACTTGAAATCAGCTGAATTGTTTGAACTTTGTTAATACAGCCGACCCGAGTATTTGCAAAATTTGTCATCTTTTTAAAAAAGTTTCCTTTAATTTTGGTAACATTTTAAATTAGTCTCACATCTCTCACTGGCTCTTATTTTCATTTGATTATTGAAATAAATTACTTCAGATTTAGAAGTCATTCCTAATAGTAAAATTACTGAATGACAGAATGTGAATTATTTGAAATAAAAAGAGAATAACCAACCTAATATAAAGGCCATTCTCAAGAAATGTGAATCTAACTAATACCAATTATACAGTCAAAAAAAAATCAGAAGATAGCCTAATATTAGTTATGCAGTTCAAAAGCCAACTTTTGGGATATATTCTGGAAAAAGAATGCATTTGACTAAGCATCCCCAAAATGGTAATGGAAAACAAGATACCAGATTGTTACTTGTACATACAAATTAATTTCATTCAAACAATTCTGAAATAAAGGAGGCTTCCTGATACCTAGAATCTACTTAAGACTTTTACTTCTAAGTTGTTCTATTGAATGAGATATATACCTCATGCATAAATGAGATTAAAAAACAAAAACAAAATGATAAATCAAATGTCTTTAAGAAATCATAATACCTACTTGGGAATGAGAGAAAGTTGCCCGATGCTAGAATGGTGCCACACCGCATGTGCCAGAGCTAACGTGTAGCTGCAGCTCATCTCAGAGTAGGACTGATGACAAGCAGTGAAATCAAAGAGGCGGAAAGGATAGCCGACCCACTCTGTCTCAGACGTCAGGCTGGGACTGCTGATAACACTCACAATTCGATCATGA